CCCTGCTGCTGAGCTACCGGTGGTGGTGGTGTCCGTGGTGCTATATGAGTCGTCACCAAGTCCTCAATGGCCGTCATCCTGGCAATGAGAGGAGCCATAAGATCCACCAAGTACTGAGGAGCCTGCTGCGGCTCTGGTGGTGCCTGCTGGGGCTCGGACTGAGCTGGCTGCTGCTCTGATGGAGTCTGCTGTGACTCCGCCTGGGTAGCTCTCCTGGTACGAGGTCTACCACGTCCTGCCATCTCTCTGATCATAAGAAAATAAAAGTTTATGAGTCAAAATAAACTTCTATAAATAGCGTATCACAATACAATCTTCACAACATATAGTATTCACACAAAATACTTTAAATTTGCAAAATAGTTATCATAAAAAAAAAATTTCCTCAAATTTTGAGGTATACGCATAAGTCGTCCTCACTCATACTAGGAAATTCTTATCGGACCCTATACATGAATCCTAAGAAACTCTATCCTAGCTCCACGACTCGACACAGGATGATCCTAAGGATACTGGAACTAGAGCTCTGATACCAACTGTGACGCTCCTGGGTTCACACAAGGCTGCAGTCCGAGGTGAAACCAAGAATGTCAAACCTGCCATGCACCACACCGTGCAATAACATGTTTCACCATCACAATTCTATCACTCTAGTGAGTCAATAACAGGTGTAGGTACAAAGCAAGTGAAAAATACTACAAGAGATAACTGATGAAAATGATAGAGATAAAAATAGTATTTCATCATCCAATCATACAGGAATATAAAGTCAATGTCTGAAATGAACAAACTGGAGTTCTTAATACATCCCAAATACAACAAGTCTGAGTGAAGGAAATAAGGCACACAGCCTTTACAACATCTAGAAATAAAGTCCTCAACCGTAATAAAACATAGCTAGAATAGATAGTCGAACACTAAAGTGTGTCGCCATCAACCTGCGACTCTCCGGGCTCCTGGCTCGTGACCTGAAAGGGGGAGGGACAACGAGCGTCAAAGCGCTAGCGAGCAACATCACAACCAACCCCAAGGGAGAGGGCTCGTTGTATAAGAAAATACAGTTATCACAAAGTATATATATATATATAAACAATTACCCTAACAATAAACAATGGGTCTTAGTACTTATGAAGTTTCAACACGGGCATAGATACGTCGAGCGAAATAATCCAAACAAGGAAACCCTCATGTATATACCTTGTATCCCAAATTGAAAATCCCTAAGTACCAAACCCGGAGTCTAATATGTAAACAGAAATAAGCAAAAAGGAAAATACAACCCATCTCAGAACGTATATACTGTATTATGTCACATCCTACATAAATACCATGTCGCATTCGACATAAGTGTCATATCATACTCTCAATATGTGTGGTGTCATATTCTTCATAAGTGTCATGTCATAACTCCTGTGATATGTCGCATGCAGGGTTAAGAGAGATGTCCAATGCATGAATTAGATATAGAGATTTCCCAACTCATGAGATAAATGGATAATTGTCCAACACGAGGACTGAAATGGATTATAGTCCAACACGAGGACTTCTATGGATTATAGTCCAACACGAGGACTGTGCAAATGAGCAAGTATTAGTGATATACAAGGCATGGTTTACTTATGCAACACTCACACTCAACTCGTCGTGTGATTCTAGGCAAGTATTTCAGGCCATCTATCATGCATAGATGCTTAGTACAACTGAAGACCAAAGTTAGGTGATCGAGGCAAGCACTCTAACGAGTGTACTATACAGCAGAAACAAACAGGGCAGGAAAAACTGTGCGGCGGTCGACCGCAGAACCCACTCCGGTCGACCGCTCGCAGGCCCGAGAACTACTGGGCTCAGAAGCTGAGCGGCGGTCGACCGCAGAGGTCATGCCGGTCGACCGCCCAAAGTGCAGAAATAATTCTGCTGGCAGAAAAACGCGACGGTCGACCGCTGAGTCCTCTGCGGTCGACCGCTGGGCGGACAGAACCCCATTCTGGGTTCTGTCAGCTACCGAACTCATAAAAACTTGGGGATTTCTATACCCATTATACTATAACCTTTTAAATGTGAACTATGGCAATAACAACCAGTTTAAATGGTTAAAACTTCATTATCAAAAATCCCAGATCTTAAATAACATGATTTTAAAAGTTCTTAAAATAGTAAAAAAAATGAGTTTAACTCTCATAAAAGCGTTTCAGATCAAAAACTCATTAATTAAGCATCATTAGTGAACTTTTTAAGACTGAAAAATATGATTCTTGCATCCCATGCCATAAGATCTACTTATCTACACAAAAATACGATTTTGGGCTCAATAGAAACCGAATAAACTCAAATCTAAGCATAAAAACGAAAAGGGATGAAGTTGGGCGAGATGTTACTCGCCTCTAATGAAAACAACGCCCTAGATCCGAAGGAAGATGGCCCCCCACACTGAATCCACCAAGAGTTCGCTGGAAATCCCTTCAAGGCTTCTCCCAAATCACCAAGAAGTGAGAACTAGGGTTTGAGGGGGGAGAGAGGGGGCTAGGGTTCTGATTTCAGATGAGAAATGGGGCTCTTTAGGGTATGATTGTATATATACTAACCCCACAACCCGACCCGAACCCGACCCGAAACCCATTAAGACCCAACACAGAAAAACTCTCTGCCTGCTGTGCGGTCGACCGCCGCGCCTTGCGCGGTCGACCGCACAGCAGGAGAAAAGTCTCCTGTGTGCCCGACTGCTGTGCGGTCGACCGCCGCGCACATCGCGGTCGACCGCACAGCAGAACAACTGCCTGCTATGCCTTCTATCACATGCTGATCAATCCCCTTGATTTCTCTAACATAGAAATTCTTGCTAGGCTCCCAAACACTATTTATCACATTTATTTAACCCAAGATCACCCTATAGCCTGATGCCTCCAATACCCCAAGTGAAATGATGTTCTTCCTCAGTTGAGGAACGAACCTCACATCAGCCAACTCCCGGATCATCCCGTCACTCATCCGAATCCGAACGGTACCAATACCACCAATAGGGCATCTGTGATCATTACCCATGAGAACAGCATCCCCTCTTTCCAACTCCTGAAAGCTGGAGAACCAATCCCTTCTAGGGCATATGTGGTAAGTAGCACCAGAATCCAACATCCACTCGGTGGAGTCGGCAACATCAACTGACGGAAGAGCTGGGCACGAATAGCCCGAAGAATCTGAATCTGAAACATCGCCACTAGCCTTGGCAATATTCACCTCTGAAGCTTGAATAGCTTTCCCTTTATTCTTCACAGCTTGTAATTTTGGGCATTCAGCTTTCCAATGTCCATTCTCTCTACAAAAAGCACACTGATTCCTACCAACTGCAGGATGCCCCCCTCTAGACTGCGACCTTCTTCCACGGTTTGGACTTTTAGCTCTTGCAACCAATGCACCAGCAACCGGCTCGATGGAAGTCTCCTTGTCCTTCTTTCGAAGTTGATAATTCACAAGGGCTGCGGTGACCTCACTATATGAAAGTGATGCCTTTCCATTAATAAGAGTGAGGACGAAGGTCTCATATTCCTCGTCGGGCAAGGAACTCAATAACAACAATGCCTTGTCCTCGTCTTCAACCTTGACATCTACATTCGCCAAATCTGCAAGTAGCTTCGTGTAGTGGTTCATGTGATCACTAATGGATGTCCCCTTCTTCAATTGGAAGCGATAAAGTCTCCTCTTCAAATGCAAACGATTTTCGACACTCTTTGTCAAATATTTGCCCTCTAGGACCTCCCAAATCTTCTTTGCCGAAGTTTCATTCATCACATCATATTTAAGGTCTTGGGTAAGGCAAGACCTAATCACACCACACGCCGTTCTATTCATTTTATTCCAAACCTTTTCATCAATGTCGGCCGGTTTCCCGTCCAACTCCAATGTATCTTCTAAATTTTGCGCATTTAGCGCATCCATGACTTCGCATCGCCAAAGTCTAAAATTATTTGTGCCGTTGAAGTTTTCCACATCTATTTTCATAGAATGTATATTCAAACTTTGGACGGCCTTCACACCAGAAGAACCCTCCCCACTTTTATCTTTTTCAGCCATATATCTCAAAGCACCACCAAACCAATGCGGAAACAAACGAGAAATAGATCCAAATTGAAAAAAGACGAGATTTTTACTGAAAAGATCCCACCTTTATCACCAAACGAAGCCCTAGATGAACTTCCAAAGCGATCTACTCCTCCAAAATAGCCCAAGCGTAGCCCGAAGCTCTGATACCAATTGTTGTGCCTTGAGAAACCAAAACAATCGCCAAGAAAGATAAACAACCAACCAAAATCAACAGCACAAACAATCAAACACCAGTTTTACGTGGTTCGGCAAGATGCCTACGTCCACGGGGCAAGGAGGGGGGAGTTTTCACTATTAGAAATCAAGAGGAACAAACTAGGGTTACAAATCTCTCATAAACCCTCAACAATCAACTCTCAATCTCTCCAATTGCTCCTAGAATAGAAGCCCAAAGAAAACTCTCTCAATCTGCTCAAATTCGTCCTTGCTCTTACCCTAAAAAACACCCAATGGGTATTTATACAAATCCAAAACGAAGCGGGTCTGAAAACAGGCCCAACTCAAAACCGCAGCGTCGGTCGACCGGTACGGTCGACCGCGATCCATCTCGGTCGACCGGCCCGGTCGACCGCCCTCCATCCAGCGGCTTGCTCCAATGTCCAGAGAGTCGTCGGTCGACCGCGGCGGTCGACCGGCCCTGATCCAAATGCCCAGTAGCTTCTGTGCACGAATGCGGTCGACCGGACCGGTCGACCGCCAACCTGTTTGCCTCAAAATCTGAACCTGAGCTCATCTCTTCAGTTATAATATCTAGTATTTACTTTATTCTTCTAAGTTCTAAGAATATTATAGCAAGTATATGTAGCTCACCAGGCAAAACTATTACGGACTCCTCTTTGGCCAACTTATAGGAGAAGTCTACACAATCTGCAATGCCGTCCAAACAAGAAAAATTCAACTTCACCTGTATAAGATTTGTTAGAATAATCTTAGCGAAATGCTATAAAGAACGTTTTGAAAAAAAGCTTTAAATTCAGATCTTCAAGAGCATCACCATTACAAACATGGAACCCTCTGGCTTATGGGGACATGTAATGCAATCAATTTCCTCCAACTTTTGATAACACATGTCGGATGCTTGCCTCAGTATATCAATAATCTTGTTGAAGAAATCATCCTTTGTATTCTCGAGAATATAAGGGAGGGCTCCCTAGACAAACATTAAAACAAAATGAAAAATTAGATGCCTACAAAAAAGCAACTAGATCGTGAAGACTAATATAAGTAGCATGAGACACTAGTTTAGAAAGGCTTGCTTTTTTGCAGATGATGCACCAGTCTTACAACTTATCAGGAAATATCAGAGAACCTTAATCCATTGCTTGAAAAAGTTTTCTGAAACTCGGCTCCAAGTTCGCTTCAAGACTTTTTGAAGGATAAATTGCTTCGAAGCTCATAAAAGAAACTATTTACCCCTTGAAGCATATGTCTGTTTCTTTTACCGCTTGAAGCATATGTCTCATGGCTTAAATTATAACTGAAGTGATGCACTGGTATTTTTAATAAGTAAAGTGACATAAAGGGAATGAACATGCTTTAAGAAGCATAATGGCTTCACCTTTGACTAGTCAACTTGG